ACTTCCTTCTATTGGGTTCTGAAGATGACTTTGCATCTTTATAAAAAATTCCTATTTAATGATTAGGCTGACTTCTCTGGCTTTATGATACTTTTAACCAAAAGGACTTTGAAAAGACACTGAGTTTCACTGTAGACATCTGTGGCTCCAATCCAATCTGCATGCCTAAACTTACCCTTTGTCAGCAGGCTTCAACTCTACTCAAAGTCACGACATGGTTCCCAACTGCCTATGTCGCTATGACCATGACCCTTCATCTAGCTCTCAGGGCACTCTCTACACTGTCCTACCCACCCATCCAGAAAGATTTCCCCCTGCCACTGCCACATGTAGCTTTGCGTGGGTCTGATAACTTTCTTCACACTTCTCTGAACCCAGTCCTCTGGTTTCCTTTCTCTGTTTCTGCTACGATTGCTCCCCAGCTTAGAATGGTTTTCCTTCTCTTCTTGGTCATACAAAACTGGACACTAGACTTTTTTTTTAAGTGCAAATGGGATGGTTCCTTTTCTACTTGCTGACTTAAAGAAACAGAAACTATCACCATGAAAAAAAATGGTTATTGGTGAGACCCAGTACCTATAGGCACTTGGCTCTTGTGTGCCTGATACAGCATATGCAGCCCCACTAATATTTGTATTTATGGTAATTAGAGAATTTCCCAACTAAAAAAAAAATATCTAAACTCCTGAGGAAATGAATGAGCTAAAGGAGTGTTTGCTTCAGTCCTTGGCTCATCCGGACAGCCAGATTCTCTTCACTAGAGGAAGACTTGAGGAGTATCCAGCCTAAACGGAAGTTAACTGGGCAATGACCGTGTTCTTCTGGGAGTAAAGGGCAGAAAAGGTTTGGGGATGAGTACACAGTATATAATGATATTTCATCTAACTTCTTTCTCCATTTGAGGTCAACACATGACATCATGAAATGAAAGCAAAGGTAATGGGAGGAAAGGTCAACAGAATGGCTGTTTAGTCATCTGATTAGAATATAACCAGGAGATGCTGGAGATGCCATGTTCTCTTGCTGAGGGGGCTGGTATGTAAGGGGAAACACTTTCACATAAAACAGCACTGAGGATCGAGTGTTTTAGGACCCATGGGACTGTGCCGTGAAATATTTTACATATTTATGACAAGGAGCCTGAGGAAGCCAGTTCTGAATTTCTGAATTTATGCAGAAGAAACCCACTCTGTGTCACAGGCATATTTAAGTCAAGTGTTGTGATCCACTTGAAATTACTGGGTGTCTGCTGGGTGTACTGTGTAGCCCTGGGCCCTACTTCTTATGTTCTATATGGTTGCTTCATCATATTATTTCTCTTTTATAGGACAAATTCTTTGGTAATATCTGCAGGAATGGCAAAAAAAAAAAAAAGGAGACTATTTTTATTATGAGATAGAGCTGTGTTCTACATATGCAACATAAGGAATCGTAATAATTTCTTTAATGGCCACACATATGGAAAAGGTCTCTCACTGCTTTACACTCTCCACTGGATTTCTCCTCTATTCCTTCTGGCTTCCTGTTATTCCCTGCCAAAAAAAAAAAAAAATGTTTTTCTGTCAGTCTTTGAAACCGTTTTAATTTTACTTTGGAGTGGGCTCCAATTTGTTAAAGTGTGGGGTTGGACACTGATACAAATAGTCACAAGTTTTGAAATTTGAAATAGAGCCCTATTAGGAATAAATGCAGCGAGATTATTGTTTAAAGCATCCTACCAGAACAAAGGCTTTTTGGAGGCGGAAGACCCTTATACCACTGGAAATTTATAGCAATTTCCAAAATGCATTTATGAGTTGCATCCTGCCAAGATGCCGAGGGCACTGTGGATGAGCAATGACAAACTTTGTGGACTCAGAGTAAACTGGCTTTACTAGACCTTCTCTAGAACACAACCAAAGGGAGAGTATTGGGTTCTACTGTGGAAAAGACTTCCTAAAGAAATGAAATGTTAAATTTTCTACTTATGTTCCAGGCCAAAGGTTGAGTGAGTAACTTAGTGGGGAATCCAGAGAGGACTCTGGATTCCTCACCCACACATCACTTAGTGCTCTCTGTCTGTAGGTCTCTTAATATCTTTAAATGAAAGAACAGAATTCTATTTTTTTTTTTTTATTAGATGATGAAAGACTGTGGCCTTCTGACATGGCATCTGAAGAGGAGATCTGTCAAAGACCCAGTGCTGCATAAGGGGATAAAATGAGAAACCCACCAGAAAAGAAAGCAGCAATACTGAGTGAAAGGCTTCTGATGTGCTCTTGTATTTAATGCAATGCTTCTCCTTCTCTTGGTCCCTGGTTCCACACAGGATGCTCCAGAGGTGGCCCTCCTTGTGGATAGATCATGGCATGTGTGTCCCTCAAGCAAATGGGCCTATAGTGGCGAGTGGACAAAGCAGCCATGGTTGAGGAAATGGCCTGGTTTGTGAGTGTAGAGAGGAGGCTTGTAGGAACTGCTCTCATTCTTCCAAGTAATGACGTTGGAAAACCAATTCTGGAGCAAGGGGGCAGTAGCTGATAAAAATCATTGAGGAGAAGGTGGCCTAGAAGATTCCAAATCCCAGTCCTCACACACCCCCTAGTGTAGAACATAGGGTAGTTCCCGGGATACTGGGTTGGAGCTGAAAATACGTCAGCCGTTCTTAATCACCTCCCTTGATGAATAGGAGATATTGAGGAGAAATAAATTAGAAACAGAGTCAAGCAATGAGCTAAATTTGCAACTGACAATCACAGGTGACAAAGTAATAATTGTGTTAAAAAGCAAGCCATTTTTATATACTCAGAGCTCCAGTGTGAAGAAAGTAGGCAGACTTCCATTGTTTAGACCTGAGCTTTTGAAACTTTAGTGTGCATGTGGATCATCCAAGGATCTTGTTAAAATATAGATTTTGATTCAGTAGTTCTGGGGGAGGGGCCTCGATTCCGCATCTCTAACAAGCTCCTGAGTGGTCTAGAGGATGCTGGTCCACAGACAACACTTTGATGGCACTTAAGTAGCACAGGGCACTGACTGATCCCTTCCACCAGGCCTGTTTGGTAGTTTTCTGGAGTTCTGCTGGGGCGGCAATCTCTACCACCCCTCCCCTCTGCCAGCCTTTCTAGTGCACCATGTAATGGCTTCCTCATTCATCTGATCACCTTGTAAATTTGTCAGCTTCAAGATAACCATATTTTATTTTCTGAACTTAAGTAGTATTTACCAATAGCATTTACTGTTTGTAATGTTAATTACTACATATTACTTTGTGACTTCATGATTCATGAGTTTGTTTTCCCGACACAGTTGTCTGCTCATAAGAATAGGATCTGTCTTCTATCACTTCATTTTTTCCATGGGGTCTTGCACAGGGGAGGGCCTATATGAGACAATTACAGAATCAGTTGATTGGTTTTCTACTGTAGGCTCTGATTTGAAAACATTTCGGATCTCTTTCCAAAGAGTGGAGTTTGATTCTAAGGTGGCGGAATGAAGAAACTTTGGAAAGGTGATGGCTCGCTGAGGGAAGCAGAAAGAGGATGCCCAAGGAGAATTTGGACATCTTCCAGTATTCAAGAAAAATGTATCCTGTACTTTAAAACTTTACCCAAGGGTTTCCTTAAGGTTAGGTGTCTTGAGTTCTGCTTAGGTCTGTACTTAAAATCACTCTATGTAACAATGTTCAGACATCCTGAGTAGAGTGAAAAACAGAAAGTAGATTTGCTGACAGTACACAAGAAACACAAAAAAGGAAAAAAAAATCAGTCTGTGCTTTGAAGCAATAAAAGATGAAATTTTCGGGGCACCTGGATGGCTCAGTTGGTTAAGCATCCAACTCTAGATTTTGGCTCAGGTCATGATCTCACGGTTGTGAGACTGAGCCCCTTGTCAGGCTCAGAGCTGAGCATAGAGCCTGCTTAGGGTTCTCTCTCTCTCTCTCTCTCTCTCTCTCTCTCTCCCTCTGCCCCTCTCCTGCTCTCTCTCTCTTTCAAAAAAATGAATAAAAATAAAAATTATAAAAAGATGAGATTTTCAGGTCAAGGAAACAATATTGTATAAATAAAGTGAAGAACCCCTCTCTATTTTCACTGTGAAAGATCAGAGAGGAGTAATAATGCCATAGACTTGAATGTGCCATCCTCTGTCGCTTGGGAATATATTAAATTCCTTCACCTACCATTGGGCTAGGTGTTTTTAGGACAGACATGTCTCTTACCTACAAGGGTAGATCATGCTGAAATGGGCAACAGGTCCCTGGACATACGCAATCATCTACCTGCACTTATTGCCTAAAGGTTCTTCAATTCCATCTGTATTGGCTAGAAAAGATGACTTCTGAGCTCTCTAACAAATATGAGAGTCCATGACTTCTTATTAATAATTAATAATAATAATTAATGTCTACACATGTTATATATTATTAATAATTATAATAGTTATCCATAATTAATACTTTGTGCAATAGACTCTCAGAACCTAAAGACAACTTAAAAGCTGGTAGAGCTAAGGTATGTTTTCCTTTCTAAATAAGGGCTATCCTTTGACGCCCTTAGAGTTATAAAAACAAATACAAGCTTTTCTCAAACACCTTCAGCAAAAAGGAACTCCCCATGTTCCAAAACAACAATTTTTGTGGTACAGTATTTTTTTTGTCATTAGAAAAATAATCCTTCATCACTGCAATAATTTTAGAAAACAAGAAAGAAAAGCATGAAATAAAAATCCAAAATGTCTATAGTACTATCACATGATAACCACTATTAACATTTTGATCTATGTACCCAGATGTGTGTGTGTGTGTGTGTGTGTGTGTGTGTGTGTGTGCGCGTGTGTGTGTGCATGTGTATACTTTTATTTTGAAAAAAAATCATGCCATCCATATTTTGGAACCAGATTTTATCATCCTTTGTCATTAAGTATTTTTCCATAACACCACTTTCAAAGGCTGAATAAGGACATTTCATTTTTTTAAATAGCTATAATTATTAGAATTTTTTTTCTTCTATCAAGCCAAAACTTACCTCTTTGTAATTTATACGCATTGGTCCTTTCTCTGCCCTCCAGAATTGCATGCAATAAAAAGTGTAATCCTTTCTTTCCAGGTCAGCACTTCAAATATGTGACCACTGCTTACAGGGCTCTCCGAATCTTAGTTTTGGGTTTTCATCGGTTGCAGGTGTTCAGACATCTTTCGTGGTTCTCAGACCCCACGATCATGATAGCTCTCCTGTGGATTAATTTCAGCTTGCCATTTTCCCCAGAACAGGATACAAAATTCCAAGGAGGAGGAAAGCTATGCCCTCCTTTTTTGGTGGAATTTTGAATTTATTTATGTGGCCAACATACTAAACATTTTTTGAAATCTTGGCTCATTACTGATCCGCTTCCAGGTCTTGCTGTCACACCTGCTTGCTGCTTAGCCTATCACGATCTCCACCACGCCTGCTACATCTTCTAATGACGCATTCAGCGCTCTTATCTTGAATGCATAATGGTTTGTAGATGCTTTCATTAATGCCACAAATAATCATCGAGGACTTGTATGCCAGGAACTGCTGTGGGCACTAGGGATACAATGGTGAATGAGATAGATGTATTCTCACCCTCAACAAATTTATAATCTGCAAAAAGGAAAGAGACAGGGCAAGATGCTACAGGAGCACACGGACATGTTACATGGTCCAAAGTTTGGGTAAGACCTTGCTAAAAAATACAATTTAGGCAAAGGCCTGAAAGAATGAGATTCATTTTTGTGAGATTCAGCCTATTGTCTGAGGCTGTTGAGACAACTCCAGGCCTCAATTCAATCATGCCTTTCATTTTTCTTTGTGAATGGTAGAATGGCATCCACATTATGGTATGAAATGTAGAGAATGAATGATTTTATGAATCCTTGCTTAAGTCATGTACATGCCTAATGCCTCTGAAAATGTATCCTGGACAAGTGTGGGCACAACATTTCAAACAGCCCCCTGATGCTCTGGAAGTGAGCTGTTGATCATGAGCTCTGCCTTATGAAGCGAATGTCTGCCATTAAAGCTTCTTAGCTCTTTGGGTGGTGTTCTCTGAAATTGCTCTCAGCTGGCTGGTGAGCATATTAAACTGTGCTTTTCACCACATACTGTAGCCTTTGCTCCCAGACTTCCTCCATTATTCTTGACCATGTTTTTATGCTCATTTTTGCCCTTTTAAATAATTGTGTGCTCATCATTCCTCCAAGTCTTACTCTAACTCTGCAATATCGAAAGGGACCAATTCAGTTCCCAAACAGTCAACAGTGTGTTTATACCACAAATGCAAACAACGGAGAGACTAGATGAATCTTCCATTTTCTCAACCAATTTTGACATTGTAGAGGCACATGTTGATCTTTCCTTGTTCTCACCAATCTTGAACAACTACCTAGATGGAAAAAAGGTAAAGTGATATATTCTAATAGTAACACTGATTTCTGTTCCTGTATTGTTGCCTTAGTTTATCATGTTGGTGTGCTTTTGATACATGATTGTAAGCTCCCAGAGAGACTGGGTGGCTTATTTAAAATGTGGTGAGTATCAGAGTACCAAGTACCCTGTGGTTACTGTTAGTGACCAGATCAATGATGAGCCAGAGACACCAGAAAGAATCTCTGTCCCGGGGGCAAAGTCACTGTTGTTGAAATGATATAGTTGAGATATATATATCTCATATATCTGCCCTCCAGATATATGTGAGATACACACACACACACACACACACACACACACACACACACAAATATATATGATAACTCTTTTTGAAACTACTTCCAAACTTGGTTTAAATACAGTCTTGCCAAGAAAGCCAGACTGTCCTTCCCTTCTTTTAACTCTATGACTTCATTCAGTTAAAGAAAGCATTTTTTTCAGGGACAATCTCCTGTGTTTTGCTGTTGCTATTTGATATTATCTAATGTTCTATGAACTTACTGGAAAATTCGACTTTTTTCTTTTCAGATTTCTGTTGTAATGCCATCATTAATACAAATTCATCACAAGTCTGTTTCGAGAGTTTTTTTTTATTTTTAATTTTAGCAGTAACATGTTACTGAATTTCTGGGCAGAGAATACTTTTTTTCTGTCTGGCAGTGAGTCACGGTTTTAATACCTTGAATGGCTTGCCACAGGCTTCTTTCTCACATGTGGGTTGCACTTTGAAATAACAGTGGGTTGAACTGGGTGATGTGATTTTTAGCTTAGCTCATTTGCAGAGAGCTTGGAGAGCAGAGGTATGCAGAAGGATATGTTGTTGGAGGTCTCAGGCAAGGTCAAAGCCCACTCAGATATTCACTGCCAACTTTGATGATACAAAGAAAATGTTTCTCCCAGAGACCAGACATGAGGCAGACCCTCAGCAGGAGACAGGGCAGACTGTCAGGTTTTCACATTTAGCAGGAAATTTTTTTATGATACTTTGATGTCGTTCTTGGAGCTATCAAACACACAGGAATCACTGTTTGAACATTTCTGCACTTCTCTAAGTGTGTTATGTATAAACTAGCAACTATTTTCTGGTCACATTTTCAGCACAAAGTGCTACATTCTATTTGCATCTTAGCAATGACTGAGTTCCTCTTGCATATTATTGCATGCTTTACTCATTGGGAAGATCTGAACAGGGAAAAAAATGTTGGCTGGTCAAAAATATAAGGCTCATTGAACTGTTAAAATGTAGTACTTATTATTCTCTAATATTTAACAAGTGTTCTGTTAACACATTATATTAAAGCATTACAGGCAATTAAAACATTCTTGAAAAAATTTATTCACCCATTTATCCATTTATCTATTCATTGAACAACTTATTGAAAAGTTCTTCTCCTGGACATTGAAGATATAAAGATGAACAATACCTCAATTTGCCTTCAAAAAGTTCACAGTCTAGTGGTCTATTGAGGAATATCAGAAGAAAAATTTATAGTCAATGTGAAAACTATCATTCTAGAGAGAGAAAGGGAGTGGAAGGGGATCATAGAGAAGGTTTATTTTATTCTTTGTATGGGGAGGAGGCAGAAAACCAGGGAAGACTCCAAGAACTAGCTGCATGTATACAGCCTTCAAGGAAATGCTAATGTAATTGGCAAGACAAGAGTACCCCACACAGAGTAACAGGCATCAGTTTGACACAGGATCTGATTAAGCACCGAATGGAGACACAGAGCCTCTGTGCTATGGAACTGGAGAGGAGGTGGTGGTCCATGAAGGAGGGAGTCGGTATGGAAGCCTTTTTGTAGGGACTTGTGTGCACCATGCAAGACGGTGTTTTGACGATGTTTTCATTTGTACATCTTAAGTAGGATAATTCAGGACAAGAATATTAAACTATTGTAGGGAATGGATGCCACCACCTATATTTCCTGGAGATTTGTATAGTACAAAGACAATTTCTCCTTAAGTGATAAATGCCCAGGGAGAGTTAGGGGAAATCTATATGCGCCATAAACTGATGACTCCTAAGGTTGAACTCGAACAAGCATTCATAGTGAAAGTAACAGAAGTGGTAAGAATAATGAGTTACAGTCACACATTTTGGAAGGAGTGGGCATGGGGATACATCACAAGGAAATGTTGAGAATGAATCCCCGTTTCTCAGTAGAAACAAGAAGTAGCTTTCGCAGTTCCACAATCATTTATATGTTTTTGTTGATCACATGAAAGGCATAGGATGGAAATTCAGGAATGCTGAGATTATATATAACTTTCTGGGAAGGGGAATTTAAGGATCTCTAGTGCACTGACAGGGTCAAGGGATGTGGTAAAAGAAAAATGGAACATATGCTGCAGTACTCACAAAACACATGCATCTGCACTGCAGGTAATGAACAGATGAGATGAATTAAAATCATCTGTTTCTACTACTCATTTCAACCCACTTGCATAATTCTGGGCCAACTTTTGAAAGGAGGCTTTGCTGAGCTTCCTCTTCTGTAATTCCCAACAAATGGTGAATCACTGGATGCACACAGATAACCGTGAGTTCCAAAGACATAAGCTAAAGAAGACAAATCCCTGACAACCAGGACAGTATAATGTGGAATAAATGGGGGTAAAGCAGTTAAGCAAGAAAATCCCCGTGGCCAGAAAGTTCATGGTTTTGCTCACAGCTGCTGTCTTTCTGGGGCCATTGGCTGGTGAGACTCAGGAAGTACCTTAGGGTAATGGCTTCCGCCTAGTGGATGTTCTCTCTCCAAAAGTCAGGGTGGTCTCCAAAAGCCCTCTGTGCTGTGGGACAGAGAAGATATTTTATAGCAGGCAAGTGGCAACCCCTCCTAAGTTGGAGAGTGGCCCTGGAGATGAGCCATGCTTTCCATAGTTCTTGCATTTGCATGAGTCTGTGCCTTCACAAGTAGGAATAGAAATAGCTGGAGTTATATAAAGACAACTGATGGGGACTCTGAACTTTAATGTGTGAATGTTGTGAAATCATAGAAGATGATAAGAATTCTTCAAATCAGTCTAGAAGGAGGGTCACATACAGATTGGTACAGTATATAAGAGGGGTCTTGCCCTGTTCAGCATAAGGCTTACAAAAGGAAAGTAAGGACAGGACCATGCTAGACCTTACAGGTACCTGGCTGTGTTTTATCAACACCTTAGTACGGAAAGATTGAAGGTAATATAACAAACCACCCTATAGTTATATCTATATGTTAGTTGTTACAACTCTGGATCTTTAAGCATAATACCAATCAACTGTATGTCCTATATTCCATAGCATCAGTTCAATATATATATATATATTTTTTTTTCCCTTAAGATATATATATATTTTTTCTTTAAAAAAATCTAGACAAAAAAATAATCCCATCTGATCTTGCCACAGAAAGATATCTGAAGTGGGTAAGTCCAATTGATACTGGTAGAGGCAGTAAGCAGCAGCCTTCACTAAATGGTGCCCGAGCATGGCAAATTCCTCTCTGGGTGTGCCAAGTGAGCATCCACAAGTTTATGCTTGTTAAATAGATCCATGGAATGTTTGAGAGCTAGAACAAACACCATGTCCAACGCCCTTCATTTTATAGGCAAGGATGCTGCAGGCCAAGGGGACTTCCTGAGGAACAGAATTTCACCCCCAGGACTCGAACCCTAAGCCTCAGCTCCCAGTTGGGTACTTTTACAACTATACCAAACAGTCTTGGAAAAAAGAAAGGGGAATCAATGTTGCTTTCCAGTAGGAAGATAATGTGTAATGTAAGCAGAACCTGAATGTTAAACAACCATGACAAAAAGTGAGCAGAGAGCTTACTTAGAAGTTCTCTTGCTCCTTTTTTGACTCTGGCCATCAGAGGAAATGGACATGTCTTCAGTTACTCCTTTTTTCTTGCCTCAGCATGGCTGGAAAACAATGAATTTGTGAAGGTTGACAGTGAATCTGTCGGGGGAAGGGCTCAGTTTTGGGAACTG